ACGGGGACCTCATGCTTGGTCTGCGTTGCCAAATCCCTTTCCTCCGCTCCGTGTGGCACAGATTCCAAGGCGTCGGTCATCCTACTCCACGAGGGCCAAACGTACCACCTCTCGGGTCCTCAGCACTTCTGCTACAAGAACACACGTGTCCCGCAATGGTACGACATATGGACCAGGATGCAGGTGAGAGGAGAAGGCAGGTCCTCCCGGGTCTGTCCCCTGCCAGCCCCTCCGGCAGCTGCCCCCGTTTGATTCCCGCCCCCTGCACAGATCCGGATCAACAGCAGCCAGATGATCCGAGTCACCCAAGTGGACAACGAGGAGGAGCTGGAGAAATTCAACCTGTGGAATATAGTTTTATCCTTCCTGAAGGAGAAGCTGAACGACACCAGCATCAATGTGGATTTCTACAGCAACAAAACCTGCCTGAAGGTCGAGGTGCTGGAGGCCGGCACCACGTACTGCGTCATCCTCTACCGACGTACGTTTCCGCCGTGGCGGGGGGGTCCTGGGGTTGGGAGGTGGGTCTGGCTGCGTCAAGGGGACGACGGGGGATGTGGTCAGATGAGCTTGTGGTCTGAGGGCTGGCCCTTCCCTGGGAAGGAAAATGGGCTCGCAGAGGGAAGCATGTCTTCGTCTGCGGGATATAAAGCTGGGAATTTAGGGCGCTTGTCAGAGGTTCTCCTAGAATGTTGCCCCTTCCCTGCCCCTGTGACCTCGTGGCAGACTGGAGCTCGACCCGGAGGCCCTTGTGCCAGGCTTCCTCTCAGCCTGGACTCTCTCCCTTTCCAGGGTTTGACCCTAAGCTGTTCCTGGTTTTCTTCCTGGGCCTGTTGTTGTTCTTCTGTGGGGACATGCTGAGCAGGTGAGCCGCCTCCTTTCCCCTGTGAGCTGGGGCAGGGGATCCCTGCCTCCTTTCCCCACTGAGGTGGGCAGTGCAGCTCTCGGGGGGGGGAGTTGCTGCCAGCCGGCGTGTGTGTGCACAAGCGTCCACGAGCCATAAAACACCTCGTGCACGTGTGTGATCTCTGCAGGAGCCAACTCTTCCACTACTCAGCCGGGATTAGTTTTGGTGTGCTGGCCTCTCTGCTCATCCTCATCTACATGATGTCCAAGGTCATGCCCAAGGTGAGAGTCGGGCTGTCTGGGGGTGAAACACCTCACCGCAGTAACCCTTTCTACACCTGTACGGCTGTTCTGGTGTGAGTGCTGGGGCACGTGGCCTCAGGGTGCTGGGTTGTGGGTCTGGCTTTGCCCAGGGCGAGGCTCAGCAGCTGGGAGGAGGTAGCCATGGTTGCCCACTGCCTGTCTTGACTCTTCCCATCTCCTCTCCTAGAAAAATCCTGTTTACTTCCTGCTGGTAGGAGGCTGGTCCTTTTCCTTGTACCTGCTTCAGCTCATCTTCAAGAACCTACGGGAGATCTGCAAGTTCTACTGGCAGTACCTCCTAGGTAGGTGAGGGCCCTTCAGACCCACCAGCTCACCAGTCTGCACGTCTCCTGCTGGAGCTGCAGTGAGCTGGTGGGAAATGCTGAGGCTTCCTGCCCTCTTCACGGCTGCAGACGCTGCCCTGGCGCTCCTGAGAGGCGAGCTCTGGCGTCGGGGCTAGCTGCAGCCCTGGCAGATGCTGCTCAGCCGGCTCCTGCCACCCAGGCCGAGCCCGCCGGCTCCTCTCCCACAGGCTACCTGCTCTTCATGGGCTTCGTCAGCTTCGGCGTGTGCTACAGGTACGGCCCGCTGGAGGACGTGCGGAGCATCAACCTCCTCTCCTGGGCCCTGCAGCTCCTGGGCCTGTTGCTGATGTACTCAGGCATCCAGATCCATCCCATCGCCTTGGCCTTGGTGGTCGTTGCTTTCTGCATCAAGAACCTGGAGTACCCCATGCGCTGGGCCTTCGTGGTCTACAGGTGAGGCCTACGAGCACCCCGGCTTGCTCCCGATTCTCAGTTGTTGTTGGGCTCGGATGAGCTGCTAGATGGAGCCTGTGTTGCAGAACCAGGGCATTTTCACTGGGGTTTGGGCCCGGGGTGGGGGTGTCGTGTCCCTTCTCCCTGGGGTTGGTCTGGGAGAGTGCTCCACTCCTCCTCCTCATGGCTGGGAGCGAGGAGCAGAGGCCGGAGGGATGTGCTCTGCTCCTCTCCCCCCACAGCTCTGACCCAGCTGCCCTGGGAGCTGGGCCTGCGCTGGGGGTCCTGCCCCGGCTGGGTGGGCAGTAACTGGTGCTGCTCTGCTGGCAGGAGAGTGCAGAGCACCAGGCTTGGGCCGAGCCCCCCTCGCCTGCTGACGCAGGAGGAGTACCGCATCCAGGGCGAGGTAGAGACACGCAAGGCCCTCGAGGAGCTTCGACACCACTGCAGGAGCCCGGATTTCTCTGCCTGGACCATGATCTCCCGCATCCGGTCTCCCAGGAGGTAACGTCTCCTTGGCAGTGTGCTTGGGGTGGCCGGCCTGCGTCTCCATGTGCTTCTGAAAGCCCAGAGTTGCTTTGTACTGTCAGCTCTGGCTTTAAAGATAAGGAGACGGAGGCCCGGAAGGTCTGTGGTGCGTGGAAGCAGGGCTCGCCACAGCGGGAGGCCAGATAACGCCCGGTCCTGGCACTGGAACGCTTCACCCTGGCTCCTCGTCTGCCAGGGCCTTGCGGGAAGCCGACAGGACACGGGTGGACAACACGCTTCCTTGTGGATTCTTCCCAGGTTTGCTGGCTTGGTGGATGGCGCCTGTCACGTCACCCCCCATGAGGTTTCTGTCCACGAGCGGGAGTACGGCCTGAGCAGCATCTTCCTGGAGGAGGAGGAACAGGAGGAGGAGGAGGAGGAACAGGAGGAAGATGACTCCTTGGGCAAGAATCACATGCGTTACGCGCTGACCGACAACTATCTGGACACTGAGTGAGGTCAGCTGCCCTGGACCCACGGGGACGTCCCCGGCGCTTCCCGCTGCCCTGATGCCTGCGGAGCACAAAGCCGCGTTTCCCGGGAGAGTTGGCGTCTGCTCCCAGCCCCCCTCCCCACCCCCCCCGATGGCACCTCGAGCCCCAGAGCAGAGCCTGGTGGGAGGACAAGGAGGGGCTGACACCCTCATCTTCCCCGGGCAGCTCCCGCCAGGCTGAGGCGTGAAAGCTTTGTCAGCACAGCCCTGGGTGTTGGCAGGGGAGACGCAGGGAGCTGGTCCCGGCTGGAGGCCGCAGGGCA